AGGGAGCGGGGTGGCACGCGGAGGGTTCTACATGCCCTGGCCTTGCTGCGCATACAGGTACCTCCCACAAAGCTCCCATTGGCCAGGAATAGGTAACTGTGGCCAATGGGTGCTGCGGGGGGCTGTGCCTGGAGGAAAGGGCACACACATGGACCTGAGAGCGGCACAGGGCCCATGGCACCACGGGGGGGCAATTCCGCAGGCTAGCTCCAAAGCCCTAAGGGGCCGGATCCGGCCCGCAGGCTGTAGTTTGCCCACCTCTGCCTTAGAGAAACACCAGCAACAGTCCTAGCTATTAGACAAGTGTTACTTGTATCAGTATTAAGTATATTAACTCACTCTGCAAAGAAAGCATAATTGTATATGGATAGGTTCTTGCATGATAACTATTATGGCTTTTTCTTGATCCAGAATATATGAAGAAATTATAAACCAAAATGAAATAGTTTGAGGCTAAGTTTGTTTCAAACAAAACATTACAATTTTTAAAGTCCTTTTAATTGCTATTTACTCTATTTGTAAAAATAGTAGCCACTTCCTCAGGATTTTAAACACACATTGCATATTTAGAAACACTGGGCAATGACTTATATTTGTTAATCTTCTAATAAAGTAAAAATTATCAAAAGACTAAGCAGCTCTCCTTCAAAGGCTCTCTCTCTTCAGGTATTTGTATGTATGTCTAGTGTCTACCAGTGGTGGCTAGACAATTAGCAGCCCCACATCCTGCAGTTTGACTTGGTGTGGGTGAATCCTTCATCTTATTGTAGACTGGCCTATAGACCTCAGTGGTCCATAAATAGTAGCTCTAACTGGTGAGTTAGCCCAACTGAAGTCATTTTTTTACATATCACATGTGCTCATGTTTATTTAAAATAGCCAGCCTGCCAATTAAAAGCAGTATTGTTATGAGTAATTTAAGTGTGCCATCAGTGTAAGCAGAAGGAACGTATGCAGTCATTAAGCTTATGTACAGTATCTTAAAATAGTTTTGAATATAAGCACAGATAATTTATTACTTTGAGTTGGCTGCTTTAGGGACCAAGTATATATCCAACTCTAAAGCCTGTTCACAGTTCCACAATCTGAGCTCACTTTTCAATTTTGAATGGCCTTCACACAAGTATACACATGTGAAGAGACATCTGTGCAAAACACAATGAAAAGAAAAGGAAAAGGATGATTAATTAGGAGTCTAGTGGTATAAAAGGCAGCTTATTCAAAGGAAATGCAATATGGAACTGACTTGTTTGCTTTGTTTAAAGAAAGCAAAGTTACCAAGACACTTAGTTTGCAATAGCTATCTTTCTACCCCCACCCCCATACCCGTTTCTTCAGTCTTATTAAATATAAAGGGCTAGACATTGGTTATTTGGATTTCTGAATTCAATATACAAACCCAAGTCATCGAATGAAATAATATTTACTGCCTAAACATTGTCAAACTGCTTCCTTCCTTTTAGACTCAAACCTGTAGACATCGGCACATGCAAAGCTTTAACTGGGCAGTCTCACTGAAGCCAATATGACTAAAGTTACACAGATGAGTTTACAAGCTACCCTTTAAAACTGACTGCTCTTCAACGCTTCTGATTTCATGCACGTGTCTTTCTGGTGGAGGACGGGAGTGAGGCAAAGGAAGATATAGAAGGCTGTTGGGTCCATTACTTGTACAACACACATGTAAGCACAGCAATTCATAAAGAATTAATTCTATATTTTGGTACAGCAACTGGAAGACATTCTTGAAATTTCAACAGAGTTTCATTGCCAGTAACTTTGGACAGCTTAAATATAAAGTTACCATCATCACATGAAAATTCTACCAAACTATCTCCTGTACTTTCTACAGTTTAAACTTTAATCCAGGAGAAGAAAACCAACTCATTTAAATAAGCAAAGTGTTTGACAGCCTGGCATTCTGCAAATTCTGTCCTACCTCATCATGACCCTTCATGCATCACAATTGTATGAACTAAAATATGTATCAAATCAAAAACAATTTACTATTAACAGGTACTTTGCCAGTATTTATTCTAGAGTTAATCCTTCCATTAATTTTGAGAAAAATAGTCATGAAAATAAGTAAAGTTTGCTTCCCTCCCTCCCAAACAGCCACCCAATGTTGCTTAAAAACACAATGATTTCTATATTTTTAGTTTTAAAAATTTAAGTGATTTAGGACTCAATCTTGCAAGAGCTTTCACTAGTTCGGGTCATAAAGCTATTCATAGGAATACATGCTGACAAGATCAGGACCCAACTCTAGTAATCCACATTATTAGTCTTGTATAATCATATTCCAAGTGCTAAAATAATGAACCACCAAGCGTGTTACACTACAGCATTAAGCAAAATCAAAAGACTAGTTAAAGGAGTTGGGGGTTATACCCAGAAAGGGAAATTAATGAACATATTAACGCAGAAAGCTAACGGATTTCTCACGTTCTTTGTGGTTAATAGTTGCAATGCCACTAAAATATCTGGAAGGGGGGGGAGGGATGAGCAGGGTAGTAAAATCCAGCCCAGAGAAGTGAAACCAGGCCGTTCTCCGGTTTAATCCTCCACGGTAAACGAAGCACCGTTGCTGGACACGTGCAAACAGCCTTGCGAGATCACCAACGGTTACCGGCCTTCGCACAACAGCCCACCCCCCGACAACGGCGGAGGAGGAGGAAGGGAAATCGCACTCGCAAGAGAATCACCCACCCGAGGCAAACACCCCACGCGAGAGCCAGCCGGGATCCTCCTGCCTCCCGGCCGCTCTGCCCAGCCCCCCTCTCCCGGCCGCACTCACAGGATGCCGGAGCAGGAGGTGCACACGAAGCTGCCCACCGTCATGTCGGTGTAGGTGGGGCCGCGCTGGTCGCAGTCGAAGCACTTGCGGTTGGGCGGGAGGCTGCTCATCTCCCGCAGCAGCTTCAGGTGCTTCTCCTCCTGCTTCCGCTTGGCGCTCGCGGCCATGGCCCCGCCGGGGAGGGGAGAAGCCGGCGGCAGCCGGGCCCCGCACACACCGGGCGGCGGC